GGCTGAATGCAAGGTCTGATTGGGCTGATGATGAGCGTGATACAGGTCATGGGTTTGCAGACCGAGGCAGAGATCATGGGTTTTCGAAAACTGAAGCTTATTGGGATAGAGAGTTTGACATGCCCAGGAGCAGTGTTTTACCACACAAACCGGCTCACAATCAATTTGAAAGGTGGGGTAAGCGTGAAGATGAAACTGGGAAGGTTTCTTCAGGTGAAGTCTCTAAAGTGGACCCTTATAACAGGGATGTAAGAACACCGAGCAAGGAAGGTAACTCATGGAGAACTTCCCCTCTGCCAAAAGATGGATTTAATGTGCAAGAAGTTGCAAATGATAGAAATGGTATTGGTGCAAGGCCAATGGGTCATAATAGAGAAATGGGAAAGGAGAATAAGTACGTCCCTCCACATTTTGGAGACAATTCTCATGGTGTTGCAGGAAACCGTGAATCAAATATGAATGTTCACATCATTAAATTGCTAATCGTTGAAAAAATATTTATAAGGGTATCAAAATTAAATATAAGGGCATAAGTGTCCAAGAAAATAGTGTAAATCAAGAAAATAGACTTTATGGAATAAAACTATACATACATGGGACTAAATGGGTTAAAAAATTCCTTCATGGACTTCTTGGGTTAAAACACTTCTAAATTGGACTTATCAATAAAAACCCCTATATATATATTTTTTTTATTTTACATGCTAACGTAATGAAATAAAAATTAAAAAATAAATTATAAAGAAAAAAATTTGTATAAGAATTTTTTTTTTTGTTTGTTTGAATCACTTGAGTATTTGTTATTTTTTTCTAAGGTTTTTTTTTTTTTTGGAAAAAGGAATCTATTCAAAATATTGTAAAAGTGTGTACCGTTACAACCGTTACAATATTTCTACGGCCGTTAAGCAACACCGAAATAGCTGTTACACATGTAAATTTCCGTCACACTGCTATAGCGCGACCGTAACGGATGGCAAGAACCACCACCACAGCCACTTTTTAAAACCTTGCCCCCACCTAAATTGCTAAGCCAAGTTAAATATCTTTGTAAGCCCAACTCCCAACCAAGAAATTTCAACCACTGCTATCACAGGGCAAACAACCTTCCACATCGGTTATAACTGAATCAGCAAAGGCTTTGATATAAACTAAAGGTAAAGTAAAAGCCGCATAGATCTAGCCAAATTCGTCCATTTAAGTAACCAGAATGCAATTAACCATTCTCAAACTCATGCATTGCCTAAGTTGGAAAAAAAATAAGGGAAAGTGGGTCTGCCTATGTTTGTGTGCTTTCCTTTCCTTTTGGCACTGCAAAGTCATTTCTTATGGTTACCCTCACATAATCGCATAGGACAACTCGTCAATTGTATTTCCATTCTGTACACTAAAATGTATTGCCATTAAGGTTTTAAAAAGCGAACGCAACAGTTACGTAATGGTTGTGGTGGTCACCACCACCCGTTACGGCCGCTATAGCAGTGTGACGGAAATTCACATGTGTAATAGCCGTTTCGGTATTATGTAACGGCTATAGCAATACCATAACGGCCATAATGATCCATTACACACCGTTTCCGTGTTACAATATTCCCATGCTTAATGCATGACGTCAAATGGAAACACCAGTTTAACTTGGGGAATAAAAGAATAATATTAAAAGTATGATTATTTAACTGTCTCAGTGTCGCTACATTTCAGAATTAGATGATTTTGACGCTTTGGACACGTACTTGCACCCATTACATGTACCAGGAGTCTTACTAATAACTTATTTTTTATCCACTTATATCATGCAATCAGGCTGGTAAAGTTGACACAAGAAATTTAAGGATTAAGACCATGAATGCTAACCAAAACCAATTATTGAATTGAACATATCACATATGCAAATTGGCAAACTCTTCCAATCCTTTACAGTATCAGCCATTCCAAGCAAGAACATGCATTACACCTCTATAAGGGCAATAAATCTGAAAGGTCTATAATCAGAGGAATGAAGTGCAAGATGCTTTTTCTTCAAGCAATAAGCAAAATAGTGTCCACAGATTGCCTTAAGAGAGACCATAGCCCAACCAACCAACCTTCAAAATAGGAGACAGATTGAAGAAATTGCTAAAGAATCCAGCAACCAATTGTGACTTCCTAGAGACCAGAGCAAATGAAAATCCTGCTATATAGTATACTCTAAATGAGCTATTAGAGAATTCTAATAGATATGTAGCATGCCTACCTCCTAAGAAGCACTGATACAAACCTAGGACACATACATAGCATAATATGAACAAGCCAACAAGATAGTTTTCAAAAAATAGGACACAACATGACATGGAAACAAGAAGAAAATACATATACACATATATTATGCATACATTAAAACAATAACTTATTTATTTTTTCCACAACAATTACATATATATTTTATTATATTAAAAGAATAAGAATTTATTTTCCACATTTTACACCAAGGATCTACCTTAAGTTCTTATCTTTTTGCGTTAGTTATGGATGAGTTGACGATAAATATTCAGGATGACGTGCCATGGTGTATACTTTTTGCAGATGATATCATGTTAGTGGATAAGACTAGAGAAGGAGTTAATACAAAGTTGGAGATTTGGAGAAAAGCCCTTGATCTAAAGAATTCCGGATAAGCAGAACTAAGATAAGAGTACATGGAGTGTAAATTTAGTAACAGTAACAATGAAAGCTGAGGAAAAGTGAAGATTGAGAACCAAGAACTGCCTAAAGGTAAACATTTTCGTTATTTATGGTCGATTATCACAACAACATGGGAGATTGATGCGGATGCGGCCCATAAGATTAAAGCGAGATGGCTTAAGTGAAGAAGTGCATTTAGGGTATTGTGCGATAAACGAATACCCACTAGACTAAAGGTAAGTTCTATAAAACGCCTATTAGACCAACGATGTTGTATGGGACAGAGTGTTGCGCAACTAAGAAATAACATATAGATAAGATGAGTGTTGCTAAAATGAGAATGCTAAGGTGGATGTGTGGCAAGACTAGACTAGACAGAATTAGGAATGAGTGTATTCGGGAATGGATAGGTAGGAGTAGCACTGATAAAAGATAAGTTGAAAGAATCGATTGAGATGGTTTGGTCATATTCAACAGAAACCAACAGAGGCAGTAGTAAAGAGATGCGATGTAGTGACGGTAGATGGAAGTGTTAGGGGACCGGGTAGGGTTAGATTAACGTTGGCTAGTGTTGTAAATAGAGATATGAATCTATTTAATTTGACTAACGAAATGGCCTTTGATAGAACTGCGTGGAGAATAAGAATTCATATAGCCGACCCCATTTGATGAGATTTAAGACTTTGTTTGGTTTGGTTTACATATTTTTTTAAAGTCTCAAGGACGGATAAATAGATTTAAATCCATATTATTTTTATTTTATCATTAGAACTTAAGTTTTTTTTCTTTGAACTTACAATGCATCTCATATATGTCTAAGTGGAGATACGCGTTCCCTAGGCCCTAAGTGTGTTGGTTCTAAAAGAAATTAAAAAAATAATAATATGATACATTTTGAATGTGTGTCCAACACGTGTCACGATACCCTTTTAGAAGTGTTTGCTTCTTAGCCTACCTCTTTAACGCAAAGGGGTGAAAGACACAGAGAAAATTTGTTCAATATCCATAGAAATGGCATGTAATATGTGAGGCAAAACTTTTGCCTTCAATAGTAGCATATATATCATCCACACACCATGCTAATGATGCCATAAACATATACAAACATGGTAAACACGTCTATTAAAACACATGAGGCAAAACTTCTACCTACAACAGACAAGCCAATAGCAGTGCATGCACCATCACACACCATCCAGAAATTTGGTTAACAAAGGCATCCAAAACACTATACACTGTCAAAAGAATATATAATAAGTTTTAAAAAACTTTATTGAGGCTTGCCTTGAGGCGAGGCTAATGCAAAATGCAATGAAGCTTCGATTTTTGGCGATATTCTCCAAAGGCTTGCACACCATAGTCTGAGGCATACGCCTTGTACGCCCTTTGCGTATAAACAAATGAAAAGTACGCATATGAAGAGCTTGACTTAGACTCTTGTTAAACTTAGTCTATTAAATGGTTTAAGCATAAATAAAAAATAAAGAAAAATCTCTTGTGCAACTATATTCCGTAAGGAAATTAAAGTAAATGACCAATCAAGAAAAAAGACAAAGTGCGTAATTGAGAAGCTCAATAATTGAAGCTCAAAACATTGATTTCACTTTTGATGAGAACAAGCTTCCTTCTCTGTAATGACATGTTCGGAGCCTTCATATATAAATTTTAATTCTTTTTACTATTTTAAAATATTTAATTTATTTACTAAATAAATATAAAAAATCAAAATTCGAAATGCTTTTGCCTCAACACTTTAAGACGCCTCACCCCACGAAGGATAAAGACCTAGAGTTACACATTTGCATTTACAAACTTTGGGAACTATCACTCAAGATAGCCTTGGCACAATATGATCTACTCTATGTACAATCACTTATTTGGTCACAATTGTCTTTTATACACTAACATGTGCAGTGTGATTGGTCATTTCTTCCATACCATTCTCTAAACAAGTACAAATTCATTGCTCTAAACCTTAGAGTTTAGAGCAATAGATATACAATGCATAACCTCTCCACTAGGCCCTTCAACCTTAGAGTTTTCTCTATGTCCTCGTTTCCCTACCCCCACTCCGGCTTCATGCAACTAAATTTTCAATAATTCTAGAACGTGATCTCCATCCATAGAAAACACTACTCCTATTGCTCACAAATCTATTCCTGGGTTTTGTTCAAATAACTCACATTTAACCGTCCTAACTCGAGACCAATATCAACATAAATACAAACTAGAAACCCCTAAATCATAAGTTGATAACCAATCTGAATATGCTTTTTCACAATTAAAATAGAAATTGCAACTATCACTGGAAATTAACAACATGAAACGATGAAATAAACGAACAATCCAACAAGAAATCAATACCTAACACCAGCATCACCGACGATCCCAATTGCCATTCCAGCAGAGAGGCCAGCGAGACCACAAGCGAGACCAGAGGAAAGATGAGCATAACCATCAAAGAGGTAATACGACTTGGCCTTAGGGTTAATACCAGTACTGATGATAACAGCAATGATCAAGCCATAAATACCCAACACACCAGCCATAACAACAGGAACGATCGACTTCATCACCAGCTCTGGCCTCATCACACCCATCGATGCAACACCAACACCACTCTTCGCTGTTCCATATGCAGCTCCCATACCTGAAGATTCAGAATCAAATATTCACGATCTAGGGTTTGCAACATAATAATGTAAATATATATATATATATATATATATAAGAGATAATGAGATCTAGGGGTTGATTACAGGAGAAAACAAGGGCAGCAGCAGCGCCGAGGAAGCCGAAGAAAGGAGCGGTTTCATCTCCGCTGAATGTCGAAGACATTGTGGATTTTCTTGCGAGCAAAGGCTGATTGGATCACGGGAAAATATAGTGGGAAAATATGTACAGAAACACAGATTAGATCAGCCTTCTCTCTCTGCTCTATAGTTTTGTACAAGAATGGAAGCAATTCTCCTTTATATAATGGGTAAATGGCACTTTGGCCTATAATTTTATGAAATTTATACTGTCCCATAAATTAAAATTTTGCAGTTTGCATATTATAAAGTATTATTTCATTTTTATCCCTATATTTTTACACGATTTTTAATGACCCTCCAAATTATTCTTATTTTCATGTATATCCCCATACTATTTAAATTATCATCAATTTTGCCTCTGTCGTCACATTTGAAACGAAAAACGTTAAAAAAAATTACATTTTGATCTCAAATTTTAAAATAAATATGCAAACTAACCTTCCTAACACTTTTCCAACCTGCAAACGAATCGTTTCGATTCAGTAATGTCGACACCAGCCCTCCTAACACTTCTCCACCAAATGCGACTTCCTGGGACGAATCCTTGCCATTATCGAAATCTCCATGGTCCTCTTACGCCGCTCAAATCGACGATTGCTATTCATACACAGGCCTAATGGGTTCTCTTGTTCGCGAAGAAGGCCATATATACTCGCTTGCCAGCTCTAGCGACTTGTTATACATTGAACATTCGGGTATGAAAGAATCAAAAGGAGTTTTCTGGGTTCAAATCGAATAGTGGGTTAGTTAAAGCCATTGTAATTACAAATGAAATCATTTTCACGGGCCATCAAGACAGGAAGATTCGATTATGGAAAATTTCTGCGAAGAATCCAACAATTCACAAATGAATCGGGACTTTACCCGCGTTGAAACCTTATATAAATAGTTCGATCAATTCGAGCAATTATGTTGAGGTGAGAAGGAATCGAAACACGGTTTGGATCAAACATTTCGATGTGATTTCGTGTCTTAGTTTGAGCGAAGACAAATCTTTGTTATACTCAACTTCTTGGGTTAAGACAATAAAGGTTTGGAGAGTATCGAATTTGAAATGTTTGGAATCGATTCATGTTCATGATGACACAGTTAATGCAGTGGTTGTCGGATTTGATGGGTTGGTCTTCATCGGCTCTATAGATGGGAGTGTCAAGATATAGTGGCGAGAGATGCAGCGGAAGGGTACCAAACACTTTTTTTCACAGAATTGCACCATATGGGCTGTAATGTTTTGAAATTTTCAAAATTAGTTTTCGGACAACTTTCGGCATACCAAAACCGCCCATTATACGAAGAAGTGAGAAAGCAAGGTAGTATAGGGCGAAGCGGGAAGTAAGGTGAAGAGAATTGCGAAAGAATGAAGTAGAACCGTCAAGAATCGAGAAAGATATAAAGTCCGAAAGATGGCTCGAAGAAAAGTCAAAAATGAGAAGAAAAAGTCTTTTTTTTTTTATCAACTTTCGGAGCTCTGATAGCATGCAAAAAGAGTAAGAATGAGACGTGTGAGATGTGATACGAAAATTAGACCGTGAGTTGAATCCAACGACGTAAAAATAAGGCAAAACAGAGTTATGACGAAGGAGATAGAAGAACTTAAAGTGCTGGTTAGTGGTGGTGGTTTGCTGGTAGCAAAGGGTGGGTTTGCATCTTTCTTTTGAAATTTGGGGCAAAAATGTAACTTTTTTAACGTTTTCCGTTTCAAATGTGACGGTAGGGGCAAAATTGATAGTAACTTTAATAGTATAGGGGTACGCGTAAAAATAAGAGTAATCTGGGGGGTCATTGAAAATCGTATAAAAGTATAGAGATAAAAATGAAATAATCTCCATTATAAATTGAGGAAATTACAATTAAAAAAAACAAAAAAAAAAAAAAAAAACAAGGGTTTTACCCTTTTAATAAATTCAATCCTAGGTTTTAATTTTGTCAATTTAAATTTTAAACTTTTGATTTATTTTCAATTTAAATCATTTGTCTATTTTCGTTAAGTAATATCAATAGAAAAATAATATTCTAGTCATTAAACTTAATAAAAAATTATATTTTAGATATTTAATGTATACTTACATTGTATTTAATGGCTAAAATATTATTTTTTTTATCGATTTTACTTAACAATTATAGGCAAATGATTTAAATTGAAAATAAATCAAAAAATTTAAATTTAAATTGACAAAATTAAAAATTCAGAATTGATTTTGTTTCAAGTCTCAAACCCTAAGTTTAAGGGTTTTTTTTTTCTTTTTTTGTAATTGTCCTTCATAAATTTGTGAATCGTAAATTATAATAATTGTTAATGAAGTTTAGAGAAACACAATAAATTTTTTACATATAACATGATTATAAAAACTTCAATTTAATAAAATTAAAGTGATCAAAACCAATATAAGTTATATATTGAACATAAAAATAATTAAATTAAAAATATATATTTCATTATAAAAGAAGAAAAATGATTGGTGCCTCGACAAAGTGAGGCGTGAATGCCTCAACGCGTGTGACTGACTCTCTACTCTCATCCCTCTCTTGCACTTTACTGTATTCAAACCCACAAAACTATTCAAACCCCAAAACTCTCAGCCTCTCTCTCTCTCTCTCTCAGCCTTTAGGTCTCTCTCTCTCTCTTGAAACCCATAAACTGATTCAGTCCAGCAAGCAGAGCAAAATCAACCAACCCATCGGCCGGCGGTGGAGGGCTTCCGGCATTTTTCGGCCACATTGCTTTGTTTACCCAAACCCTAGATCCCCAAATCTCCTCCATTGACAGCCAAGAAAAGGTCACATTTTTGTTTTTATTATTTTATATTTTTTTATTTTTATAAATTCGTTCCATTTAATCCCCATGATAAAAAGTTGTGTGATTTTTCAAAAAAATGTTTCATTTTTAAATCCTCTCCAAGCCTCGAGTGCCAAAAAGATCTTGTTTTTCTTGCTCTGTTTCATTGTGAATTTTCCATAGAGCGTTGAAACCTTCTTCCAAGCTTAACATTGTTGGTTTGTTGTTCTGGACTTATAATGAGTGCAAAATTGGTACATGAAATGAACCTGTATCTTCAAAAAAATGTTATGAAATAGACTTGTTGTTAGAAAGCTTTAGTAGTAATTTGAACAAGATGAAACGTGTTGTGATTTTGAAAGAAAAATCAACTTGTTGAAATGATGAATTGAAGGCATGTGTGAGAATTCAAAGCATGTGTGATTCTCTCTAGACTTACATTTTGCATTGCAAGTGTATGATAAAATGCCTCAATGAAATGCTTTGTGCTTCCATGAGCCATTTGACATTATTAATGGACACTTTTTTTTTTTTGCTGAATAATTTACTAATTATTTGATAAAATACTACTATTAGGAGTGACATGTCAATGGCTTACACATCCACTAGTTCTAGCAATGATGGTCGCCTTTTCGAAAATCGAGGTTGCAAATGTGGCAAAAAAAGCAGCCGTTAAGATATGAAACTCACAGAAAAATTTAGGGAGGCATTACTTCAAGTGTGTAGATGGCAAGTGTGATTACTTTGCATGGTAGGCGCCTACTAGTCAACATGGCAATGCATCAAATATCCAATGGAGGCCTAATCCTATTCATAGGAAGAATGAAAATGAGGAGATGAATGATTTTAAAAGAAATAATAAAGCTTTGGACATATTGGAGCGAAGATTGAAGCAGCTTAAGGCAAACGAATGAGCTATGAAATTCCTTTCAATGGCAAGCATAGTGTGTACTGGTTTTAGCATGCTAATGGTGTTATTTTGTTTAATGTTGAAATGAATGTTGTAAACTTATACATTTGGTTTTGAGAGTTTTTGAGAGTTCTTGGTTTGGTGTATATGTTATTGCTGGTTTTGTGTTCTTGAACCATCTATGACAAAACAATAATGGAGCTTTTGTATGTGTTCTTGAGAATTTTTGTGTGTGCTTTTGAGAGTTCTTGGTTTGAGTGTATATGTTATTGTGTTGGTTTTGTGTTCAACAGTGGCGTTTTGTTGCTCGGTTCTTGAACCATCTATGATTTAGAGTTTTTGTTGTGAGTTCTGATGTGAGGAAGGAAGGTTATAGGAATGATGTGAACAAGGAAGGTTATAAAGCCCATGTGAGGGATTGGACTGAGTGCTTTTAGGAAAAGAACATGGGTTTTGCAGTTAAGTTATCAAGAAATACTCGTGCCCAAAAAACATTACAAAACTATGAAACTATGAAACGTTTCAGCTATGAAACATTACAAAACTATGAAAGGCACTGAAATATTTTGAAAATTATTCCACTGAAACATTACAAAACTATGAAACATTACAAAAATTGTTCCATCAAAAGGCACTAAAATATTTTGAAACACCACAAAAACATTACAAAACTATGAAATGTTTCAGCTCCTATTAGGAATATACACTAATGAGCATTTATATTTGCCTCTGTTTCTTTTTAAAAGAAAATATTTGCCTCTGTTACCTTTTATATCTAAGGTCACATTACTATCAAAGAAATATTAAGCAGAACTCCAATATCTAATTTCTCTCAATGGTTTGATAGCATTTGGTAAAAAACAAAAGGTAAGCACAAAGAAAGTTAAAACTACAGCCACTCTACTACATCTGTGGTATCAGGGATCTGTCCCTGCTTCCCATTATTCAGCTAACCATATATCTATGCTTATATTATATCACATTATAACAGCAAAGTAAAGCCAAAAGAGAGCCACCACAAATACTATAAAAACAAGCACCCAAACAACTGGAACCAAAACTGAATTAAGCCAAAATAAAACCATATCAACATCATCAAAACACCCAAGAGAATAATAAGTCACCTTCCAAAAAATATGTTGTCAGCCAAAATCACTTTAAACCATTACACTACAAGTGATGAGACTTGATTGGATCCTAAACAAACCAAAGTACCTAAAGTTTACAAAACAAAGTCATAAAATTACTACTAAAAAACTAAAAATAAAAAGGGGCATAAGGATCCACATCTATATTCAAGTCAACAAATTTTGAAGTAATTGGTCCACTTTGACTGCTTATATTGTTCACCATTCCTGAATGACTAGGAGATTCGCTTCCAATGTTATCCACCATTTGCATTGGGCTACCTCGTGCCTATTCAATGAGAAAGTAATAATGTGAAAAAAATTTGTGGCAAACATATCTGC